AAAAAATATACATTTATTAATAATTTATATTAATTAAAATATAATATAAATAAATAAAAAAACAGAAAATAAAATGAATAACATATATTAATTAAAATTTTGTTTAAATAATAATAAACAAAAGGTAATAATAACAAAAAGACAAAAAAACATATTTAAAGCTAACATAGGGGTGCCATTAGTAACACATAGGGGTGCCATTAGCCTCTCCCATTGGATTATACAACTTGTCGAACGTATCGACGATACCCAAATTTAATTCTGGATTCATATTAATTTATCAAATTTTTAATTGAAAACTTACATTTAACACTTTTAATTAATAGTATAAATAACAAATACTACAGAAAAATGTTTAAATGTCTTAATAGAATATCTTACAAAGATTTAAGTTTATATGATCAAAAAATAAAATGTTTTATGTATAAATGTTACATAAGTTTATATATCGTTTTTGAATGTCGTAACAAGTTTTTTATGATATTTTTAAAACAAAATGTCGTATTACCCGTTTTATATAACACTTTTGAAAAATGTCGTATAAATTAACCCATATTTTTGGAGGATTCAAAATATATTATTTATTATTTAGGTAAGGAATTACAATTAATACTTCCACAAAACACCATTATTGAAGTATTAGTTAAACACACACACAAACCCTTAGCAACATCCAAAATACAACTTATAATTAATTAAACCCTTTGTTTGATCATCAGATATGAGACAGCCAAAGCAAGGAAGCCTCCAACCATCACGGCCGACGGAGAACTCATGATGGTTCCTGACGGTGTAGGAGCAGGCGCCATGTACATTCCGGGCATGTCCGGATCCATGGCGGCGGCTGCCGCCACCATTGCAGCAAAGCAGACAGCAAACACGGTGGCCGGAGATCCAAAAGCCATTGTTAATGTGATGGTGATTTTGATGAAGATTGTGGGTTTTGATTGAATGAAAAGGGTTGAAATGGTGATGATGGTTTATATAGAGATGGTGATGGGGTTATGAACTGGCAATGGGTTTGTAATGATCGATGATGACGGCCGGCCGGCCACCGTGAAAACCCAAGTTAAGGGTCTTCTTCCGTGGCGTCCCTTGGTTTCTGTGGCATCCAAACATTTATTTATTTTTATTATCAATTATATCAAGAAAAATAATTACCATTTAATATATTTTATTTTGATATCCATATTATTATGTTATGTTTATTCGTTTTAATTAAACTAGAAGGTAATTGTATGGTTTTATGTGATTTTGAAAAAATGATGATGCTTTTAATTTTGAACAAAATATAAATTTGAATATATCATAAAAATTTGACAAAAATATATCGATATTAGTATCAAATTAACTATCTAAAATTTCTCATATTTTTTGTAATTTTTTAATTCAGTTTTTTTTATTATAATTTAATTTATGTTCAATAACAAAGTAATTTATATTTGGTTTAATAATATAATTTTCTTGTAAAAATAATAATTAATTATTTTGTTAAAACTTGATAATTATTCTAATTATATTTTATATTTTTTTATATTTTAAAATGAGACGTTTATCCTCTATTTGATTATGTTTATCCGCAGTTAGTTACACGAATTCAAGCATGGAGCTTTAATAAGTTGTAATTATGCATAATTTAATTGTAATCTTGAATTTTAAGTAATATGCATCAATATACAATACTTTATGCATAAAAAATGGTTTTAAAAGTTTTTGTCAAATGTTTTATAATATAATATATATTAACCACTACAAAGTGTCGTGGAAGAACTTTTTTCACAAAAAATGGAGTAATAATTATTACGTTATTTAAGATTATATTTATATTAATATTAACTAGTGTTTGGCACCACACGTTGAGCGGTGACAAATTGTATTTCTTTAAAGATCATGTAACAAAATAATTTACTTATAATGAAAGACAAAGTAGAATAATTATTATACTTCGTTTAGAGTGTGAGCCAAAAAAACCAAACTCATGTACTCACGTCATTCCACTTTATCGTATTTTCATCAATGTGGATAACCAAAATTCAATACCAATAGAATAATTATGAAACCTCAAATCTCACAATATCACATAATTACCCTAATTAGTTTTTCTTCTATTATATTGATAATATTTGATATTGAGATATACTGATGGTGTGTATATATATATATATATATATATATATATATATATATATTTGATTTTTTATGCATATTAACTTTTTAAGAGGGTTGACCAAAACGAACCAACGCCATTAGTTTGGAGGGTCAGTTAAAATGAACCAACAACATGAGTTTAGAAGATCGGTTAAAGGAAGTCAATCCCATGAGTTGCCACAAAGGTATCTCAAACTCTATTCATATACATACTATTCAATGTCAATCTTTCATTCATACATCAATGTGGTATAAAGAAAACTCAAACACAATTCAAGGAATGAAGATTACTCTGAATGTTTTGCATGATATTTCAATTGTGTTTTGCACTATAATTATCATTTGGTTGGTTTTGATTTCAATCATGTTTATAGATTTCAATTGATTCATCACTCATTTATATATCCTTCATATTCATTCAAATTATCATCTCTCCACCAATGTGAGATGTTGAAAGTCAACTTTCCAAATTATCATCTCTCTCCACAAAAATCGCAAAATTATCATAGTTTTGGTAACAAGCACTCTCTTTGTCTTAAAATGCATGTTCAAGTTTTTATATTTATGTTTGTCTCAAAATAAGTGTCTGATTTCAAAAATAGATAACTAAATCCTCAAATTTATCCATAATTAATGCAAAAATATTTAAGAATTGTAAAAAAATGATGAATTAATTAAAGATAAAGTTATCACTTGTTTAAATAAAAAGTAAAATAGTTAGAGCATCTCCAACAACTTTTCGTAATAATTTCTCAAATAAATAGAGAACTAAAACTTAAATTTTCTATAAAAAAACTAGTTTCATTTCTAACAGATTCTCTATTTTAGAGATTTTAATATGAATAATGAATTATATTATTATAATATTTTATAATTTATCATCTCAATACATTAAAAAGATAACTTCTTATAAGAATAACTTAATCTCATTGGTTGAATTGAGCAAAATAATCATTTATCTCTCCGAACATCAAGTTTTAGAGAATTTTCTATATTTAGAGTTTTCTCCATTATTTTCTATGGCTAAAGATCGTATGAGAAATATAAGAAAAGATCTCCATCATTGATCATTTTTTAATCTCATGCCCGTCCATGAAATATATTTAGAAGGGAATTGATCCGCTAATCTCAATTAGAGATGGCCAAATGGGTCCAGCTTGGCTCTGGATCGGCAGAGGATCGGGACCGGGATGGACTCGGGCCCGTCCGCTCGGGGACCGTTTGGGACCGGCGGTCCGAGACCGGTTACACTTTTCATCAAAACAGAATGCCTGCCCGACCCGGGATCGGCCTGATTTTTTGAAAATATTATTGTTTTATTGTCGATACCTAACGGCCATATGACCATTTTTTTCCCATTTTGACCCTTTTTTGTCTCATATGCCTTATATTTACTATATATGTATGGAGAAAGATACCAACTCACAAGCATTTACAATTCTCGTTATAATTCATGATTTTGGCTCGTATTTTCACAAAAAATGTATTTTTTAAATGCACTTAATTGACTAAGGGGCCGTTTACCAAATGCTTACTCGGGTAAGTAAACACCAAGTCATATTACCTTGCCGGATGAATATAGTAAGGATCAAGAATCTTACCTGGTAAGAGCGATACAAGAATCAAGAGTCTTACCCGGTAAGTGAGAGCTACAACTCTTACCACGGTAAGCGCTTACCAAGGTAAGCGCTTACCAAGTAAATTGTTACATACGATACCGTTTTGGTGGACTAAAATCTTACACGATAAGTAAATGATAATGTTAAATTTTATCGGTAAGCACTTACCAGGTAAGTGTTTGGTAAACGACCCATAAATTACATATTCTCAACTCAAGTGTATTAGAATTAACACTTTTGTATTCCTTAAAGAAACTTCAAAAAAATAAAATTATGTAAAAAATCAATTTTAAAAAAATACATAGGACCGGTCCTCGTAACCGGTTACAAAGTATCTTAACCAGGCCTCGTGTTTTTGGTCGGGAGTGAGGCCGAGATCGGGACTGGGACCGATTTGAGCTTAGCATGGCCCGACCCAGGACTGATTTTTGGCCATCTCTAATCTCAATACATTTAATTAGCGTTGACATTCAATTACGATTGATTTAAGAGTATAGACCTCTTCTTATATTTTTCACCATAACTTTCTTTCTCACCGGAATCCAACCTATTTTCTATTTTAGAGAACAAGATAGCAATACTATTGAAGCATCTTAAAGAACAAAAACTCATTTTTTTTCTATTTTAAAAAAACTGTTAAAGATACTATTATATGTTTAAAAGTGTCTACCATTTCTATTATGCACATTTATTTTAGACTGAGAGAGTAATATAAGATAAAAGGTAAGAAGGCCCATGGACTGATATTATAAAGCCCAAATTTTGATCCAAGCCCAATTGGCCCATTTCCAAATTCCAACTGCCAAGTATTAAGTATATTCTTCATCGTCGTCGTCGTCTTCTATCCTTTCCCCCAAATTGCTTTTTCACTCACAGTCATGGATTTTGCTTCGACTCTCTCCATGTACTTTCATCCGAAAGCAACTACAACCACCAGCTTCACAGCCGATGGCTGTATGCTTCTTCGCAGTCGGATGTTTTTTTCTACTAAGTTGCATTATGTGCATTCAGGACGCCGACGTTTGCAATTCGAAACGTTTGCAATAAAAAATGCTTCGGGTTCGTCTGGACGGTCGGCGAGAGGTAGGAGAGTTTATAGGGAGTCTCAATCCGAAGCAGGGCCTTTAACCGCTGTTCCGGTGAAGGAGATTGCTTCATTTGTGTTGCCGGTCGGCTCGTTCGTTGTCGTTACTTTTGGTATTGCTTTTTAATTGCTATCTATTACGTTTTCTTGTGTCTATCGTTATTGAATGTATTCTCTCTATCTTATACAATATGAGCTAAATTCTGAGGAATTTGGATGTCAAATGCTTTATACCTTCACCATCAGTTGGTAGGGATTTTAAAATTTTCGGCCGACATAGCTACTTGTACGGATAGGATGATTAAACTTGCAACAAAATCCGTACTCAATTTTGCATTGAACATGATTAAGTTTGACAAAACAACGAAATGTAGCTATTTGGAACAAAGGGGCCTCGTTTGCAAAATTTGTGCTTATGGGGAGGAGCACTTGACTATCAAAGTTTGTTAAAATTTAGAAGTTGAATTGTTACAACCAAATGAGGTTTATGTTTGATTAGTTAGCTAGATAAAGGACAATAGCTTCAATTTAGTTAGCTGTTACCGTTAACATTGAACATGTAAGATGAGGGCATTATGGTTTTCTTTTGGTTAAGGGATTGATGTTGTCATGGGTGAGGTTGTTGTTATGTGTATCATCTTTCGTTGATTATCAGTGGTAAGTTATCAGAACTGTAGTGATCGAATGATGCAAGTTAATGTTGTTGCTTATCATGATGAATTGATGACCCTAATGTGATTGTGGTCAAATTAGTGGTAAGTCCAGTAGGTAGTGTGACTTGGCAGTCAATAAAATTTATATTCTACTTGTGAAAGTATTTCTCTCTAGGTTGGAATCATGACCTCATCATCTTCCACGAATATGATGCCTACTCTTCCTGGTTACCCTATTCTATTTAGATATGGTCATTTATAGGAACTTCATCGTGCCCATCATAAACGGTATTAGGTTTGTAAAGTCGACTTTTTGTGCTAGAGGGTCAAATACCGTTAACCATCATTCTTAATTTCCTCATGTTCAGAATTTTTCCCTTTTCCATGACCTGTTCCGTTTTTTCATTTGGTTCCATTGCCATAAAAGCTAACGTTTCTCAAATAGATTTACAAGAAGAGTTATGCTAAAGATAGAAGCTTCTCAATGGTTCACTAATTTATGTCTTCAGCTGACAGTTATGTGGAAATTGGTGGAGAAGCTGATTATGCCCAAGCGGTCAAAAGCTCCAGCAGCAGAGAAAAAAACTACCGACGGAGTGAAATGGTCCTTTGCCGCTGGAACGAATTTGTTACCTAATTTTGGTGCAAAGATTGAAAGGGAATCCAAACTTCGACTAAATGATTTTGCTCAAGAACTTAGGTCGTTCAACATTGTTGACATGTCAGGTACTAGCAAAATAAAACCATATAAGATGCTGTGCTTGCGACAATATTCTTTATATTTTCTTATACACCAATTGTTTAGCTGCCTATATTTAATCTTGTACCTATGTGGCAGGTCGCAACTTCGGAGATGAAGGACTATTTTTCCTTGCAGAGAGCTTAGCTTATAACCAGGCTAGATTTTTTTCATGATCATGTTTATTTTACTCTATTAACTATTCTGTTTTATTCATTTGAAAGATGCTTATACGGTCAATGTTATTATATTGTTATAGTGATCCAGTTGATTAGCATAGAGTCATTTGAGTAAGTTGAGTTGGCCTGTGGTTGTGACTTACATTTGGTATTGTGGACTGCTTGGATCTATTTTTGTATATGTCTAGTGTATATTATTATTCTTTTTAAGGTTGTTTGTCATAATAGCTCTTCCTAAATAGTTCAAACTAGATTCTGTACTTGATAAATATCAAATCATGAATAGTTAGATTCAGAGCGAAGGGTTTTGGATCGTAACGAGTCCTAAGATTCAAGTTGCAAATACTAAGATTCCTTTAATCTTTGTGTGAACTATGAAAGTAGATAATTATCCAACACGTATCATATTAGAGTTGTATTGAATCAAAGTAAATGTATTGTGGTTTGGATGAACTTACATTCTGGCAAACATGTGCAGATAGAATTGTAGACATCTGCAAGTCCCATATTAATGCCAACATTTTGTTTTATGGCATCATTTCAATTTAAAATTACTTATGTCCCCAAATCAATCATTACAAATACATTTTAACCCCCCCCCCCCCCTCTCTTTGTCACCATTAAGGGGTATTTCACACATTTCTAGAGGGAGAGAATACTATTTTTATTATTTGTGAATAGAACAAGAACCTGCTTGTAACTGAAACTCTGGATTTATGACATAACATGATAAATCCCCTTCGTTAAGTTTTTATACCATGGTTGCTAGCTGATATTGTGGCTTTGCCTTGGTGTACTGGGTGCATCCTTGCTTTTCCTTTTCCAGGTTGTAGAAGAAGTGAATTTTGCTGCCAATGGAATAACGGCAGAAGGAATTAAAGCTTTTGATGGTATTCTGCAATCGAACATTTATCTAAAGACTCTTAACCTATCAGGAAACACTATTGGGGATGAAGGAGCTAAGGTGAACTAATTTGTTAGTTTTAGTAGGTCATGGGTTTGAAGGAAATTGTAAAATTTAATTATGTTCCCCCTATTTTACAAAAATAAATCTTGGAAAGGGTCATAATAAAGGGTCCTAGTCTACTTTTTAATTTTCATATTAAACCCATTTATTGATTTCTAGCTTTGCAATATTGGAGGTTTTTGAATTGCTGATGATATATGATATTTTCTATGCAGGCTTTATGTAATATCCTGGTGGATAATAATGGTATTCAGAAGCTCCAGCTAAACAGTACTGGGCTAGGAGACGAGGTTAGTTTTTTCCCAAATTTTTAACTAAAAGTTGCTGGTTAGATATTAATTGATCTACAAAATCCTCAACTATATTTACATGTTGCAGGGAGCAAAGGCTATTGCTGAGATGCTAAAGAAAAACTCAACCTTGCGAACACTTGAACTCAACAACAATTTGATTGACTATTCTGTATGCCTTTGTTTTATTTCATCGTAGTTTATGTTTGTATGTATTATTGAAGTTAATAGCATCTCTCTTACTTTTAATTTGGCATCGGAGGCAGGGATTTTCAGGTCTTGCTGAGGCACTTCTTGAGAATAAATCGTTACAGAGCTTGTATCTAAAGTAAGTAGATCTTGTGATTTCATATTGTTTCCCCATTTTACAGATACATTTTATGGCTTTTTAAGAATGTACAAAAGGCCATTGGGGTATGTAGCATGGATAAACTCATGCCAACCTGATTATTTTGTAACTGACAACACATTCTATTATCCTAGTGGAAATTATGGCGGTGCTTTAGGGGCTTCTTCACTTGCTAAAGGGCTCGAGGGTAACAAAGCTTTAAGGGTATTCATCTCATTTCTATTCATCTTTAGTCCCTAACTGATGTTTATATGCCGGTTTAAGTTTTTTTTTTTTATCACTAACTACAATATTTATATGGACTTGAATTCCTAAATTCTACCATAAGTGATCAGATATGTGAAATTCACATATATAATATGCAGGAACTTTTTTTGCATGGGAACTCCATAGGAGATGAAGGAGTCCGTGCATTAATAGCTGGATTGTCGATACATAAAGGTTTGGCTCCTTGATGCATTGATTTCTGTTGTTAATGTATTCTTATATGTTTCATTGTATCTATATATATATTGTGTTAACTTGACATGTATAGTTGGTAAGCAGGGAAACTCACAGCTCTTGACATTGGCAACAATATGATAACCTCAAAAGGCGCATTTCATGTTGCGGAATATGTCAAAAGAAGTAAAACCTTGTTGTGGCTTAACGTATACATGAATGACATTAAAGATGAGGTATTCATCCCTCATTAGTTTAAAACTTTCAAGTGTTTTCTCTTGTTAACATTAATCAATATCCTGTTATCGTTTTAAGGTTCTTATTATATACATTGATTTGATTATCAAAATATGCCAGGGAGCTGAGAAAATAGCTGATGCTTTGAAGGAGAACCGTTCAATAACAAACATAGACTTGGTGAGAAGAGGACCCAAGTTTACCCCATTAGACGTAACGTTAAGATTATTTGAAATAAATTCAACCATTTTTATACTTTCAGGGGGGAAATGACATCCATGCTAAAGGGATAACTGCAATATCGGAAGTTCTAAAAGATAATACCGTGATAACAGCTGTGAGTGTCTTACTGAATTACTTGCTTCCTTCTGATGGAAAATCGCAAACCTTTCCATTTCTGAGTAGATTTCAAGTTTATCTATTTGCATGTTGTCATCGTTACAAAGTTAATGATGTTGATTTGGATCCAGAAGGTACTCGTATTGTCATTGTAGAAGGGTATTTTAGACATTTGACAAACAATGATGCCGTCCTAAGACTACCCAGTCAAAATTTGCCAATTTATGGGACGGAGATGGGCACTCTCCGTCCTAAAATAAATTTCCACATTGAAAAAGTCACAGTTTTTTGTGATCATTATAGTTTTTAATGAACTAAATGACAATTTTACTCTTAATGACAAGGGAGCAAAGGATAAAATTAGAGAAAGTATAGTAGACACTTATTTTGGGACAAGCTAAATTGAAATGTGGACACTTATATTGGGACAGAGGAAGTAGTATATTACTATGCTTACGAAGCTGAAGTAACTCAATTTGTCTCTATTGCAAACAGCTTGAACTCGGTTATAATCCCATGGGATCAGATGGTGCAAAAGCTTTGTCAGATGTTCTTAAGTTTCATGGAAATATAAAAACTCTCATGCTTGGTTGGTGTAAGGTAATTACAAGATTCAAATTCTTTTGTTAATTTTTAGAATCTCTAAGAAATCTCATATGACCAATTTCATTCCAACTTATTACAGATAGGAGCAAAGGGTGCAGAGTTCATAGCTGATACTCTAAAATACAACAATACGATCTCCACTTTAGATCTACGAGCTAACGGGCTTAGTGATGAGGTTCATATCTGTAAAGAAACTACTTTTGTATCATTCCCCATGTTCAATAAATTAATAGCCAGTTGGTCATGCAGGGTGCTAAGTGCTTGGCTCGCAGCCTTAAGGTGGTGAATGAAGCTCTTGTGTCACTTGATTTAGGATTCAATGAAATTAGAGTATGACCCTCCTTCCTTCCGTAGAGAACTTGGCATTAAAAGAAGTTCTTCATTGCATCTTATTTGATTTGATTTGGCAACAGGATGAAGGGGCTTTCGCCATTTCTCAAGCATTGAAGGCTAACGAAGATGTGAGACTGACATCTTTGAATCTTTCTAGCAACTTCCTTACAAAGTTAGGGCAGGTATTTGATTTCACCCTTTTCTCGTCTATCTTTCCTTCCATATTGTTATTTGAGGGAGTATATGGTCAGTAGTCACGTTGCGTTTGGGACTGGACATGACTGAACGGTAAAGCGTTGGGGAAGGTTTGGTTTTAATTTGTTATGGGTAGTTTAGTAATTTACCAAGTTTCTTCCACCTATTTTGGTGGGGCAGACTCATTCCTGTCTGCTCTCAGTATCTAATTGTCACACCAAACGTGGAACTAGTTTTTGCTTAGTTCTGTCATGTACTATCCCACGTACCAAATGCACCATCAATCCTAGTATGCAAAATCATGTTTGTTTCCTTCCTTCGATTGGGTGATCCTGAAATAAGGGTATAAAATGTTGCAGAGTGCTCTAACTGATGCAAGAGACCACGTGTACGAGATGAATGAAAAAGAACTAAGTATCGGTTTCTAGGCATCTTAATGGAAGCAAGGCGTATACTTAGTTGACAGGTATTCGACTTTTCTTGTTTTTGCGGGCATCCCTCAAACTGCAGGGATGTTTAAAAATTTTGTTACAGAGATTGCGGCTAGCATTGTGGTTGAGAAACTTCTTTGCACCCATTTGTTTGTTTTGGTAAACATAGGGTTTTGATCATTCAATTTGGTAAGGTGCACCCACGTGATCATATGAATCTTAACCCTTGCAAAACCACCAAGTTTGTTGGTGTTGTAATGTTAAACCCATGTGCAGGCAGGCTGAAAGTTGGTCAGCAACCAGCAACAATTGCATAGTAAAGAGTAGTATGGTAGGTGGTGGTAATTCCTAATTGCAACTCTGATCTGGTGGATGAGATGTTAAATACCCAATAATTTTCTAGTAGGCCTGCCTCAATATAAATCCAAAACAAACATTACTGTTAGGGTATGTTTGTCGAGAATGAGATAGGCGGGTGAAAAAATTGTTGAAGATTTTAGGGTTTTAATTTGAAGTTGGTAGTTTAATAATTTACTACATTTATGTAGAAGTCAGTCATGTCCTATAATGTTGCAGGGTCAACAAAAGGAACTTCTTTGACCATCTACTATCTTACAAAAACACCTTTGTGTTGATGTGTCTAATGTCCTCAATTACTTGTGACTGCCATGTTGAAGAGATTGATGTTTTACATACATACGAAAATGGCAGAGATGACCCCAAAAACAGATAGACACCACACTCCAAGTTCACGCATCGGGATTTTATACATATTAAATAAAAATATTTTTGTTTATGTAAAAGCTATCAAATTGAAAATATGTCTTTATATTAGAAAATGTAAAGTTCAGAAAATAAAGAAAATCGAGACATATTATATATATTTTGGGTTGGACATTAAAATATACATTGTATTGGAAATTAAATACGGTTAATGTAAGATTATTAGTATATAGTCAAACAACAAATAGTTAAAATAATAATAAAATATAAATATGAATTAATATTAGAAAAGTTCGATTATACAAACAAGAAAACCTATTGCCAAATTGTACAAGAATAATCTGGTAATTAAATACTTTGAGCAACTATAAAGAAAAGGTTGTCTATAAAAGTATTTCTATATTTTAATGTTCAACCTGAAAGATACGTGAACTTCTTTTGATTTTTACACTTTAATTTTTTTAATATAAAAGTCATTTTATCAATTCTATAACTTTTTAAAGTAAATATAAAGAAATTTATTTAATATGTACTTTGGTTTAAGAAATTTGATTTGTAATTCGATATATGAAGTATTTTTTTTAATAAAAAGAATTAAAAATAGCAGAGATGATCTTCAAAAAGTCCTTGCACAATAAATTTTAGCATAAATTATGCTTTTATCCTTGTAGTTTGTTCAAAAACTGATTAATCCCTCATAATGGTTGATAATTGACTGTGTTAATTTCGGGGACCTTGAGTGTTATGTAATTGAAAAGTCAGAGACCATCAATGTAGATAGTTTGTTTAAGAACCAACTCCAAAATTTGAGCAAGCCACAAGGACCATCGAAGTAATTTACTCAAATTTTTATTTAAAGAAATGTGTGCAAATAGATTATATAGGAGTTTACATATTTAGGGAATGTATTATTTTATATGATATTTTTTTTATAACTATAATTTAATATATTGATTAATATATATTTGATTTATAATATATTTGTTTTACATGTACTTGGTTTACGATGTGAAACTTTTTGATGTGTTTTTGAAACACAAAATACATATAAAAGAGTTTCACATTGTTAAACGAATAAATATAAAACAAATATATGTCAATCAGTATATTAAAAACTATACTTACATATTAAAAATTATGTATCAAAAGACCTTAAAATAGAAGTTTTCACAAATATCATAAATTTCAAAATTATTAAATAATGATTAACTATATATATCTTAGATTTTGCAATGATTTCTATACGATTTTTTTTTATATCACTTCACAATATTTAGCTTTTTTTTTTTTTAACCTGGAGCAGATAAAAATAAAATTGTAGAAACGTAGAAATTAATTATTAAAATAAATAAAAAATTATCTGATTATCTTTTTCATTCAATTCATGGGAAGGAGACAGGTGGGACGTAAACAGGTACACGAACACTGTAAAATTTTAAATTTGTGGGCAGAGATAGCTGGCAAATAAAGACAAAGTGGGCCTGACCCATTTTCCAAGGCCCATAACCCTCTTCTCTATATAACATGACATGCCTCCGATCCATTTTCAGAACCTCCAATTCCATACCAAAAATGGCTTCTCCTTTCAATTTTCTCTTCCTACTTCTAATTTCAATCTTTGTCCTCTCTCTTTTTCAGGTGTCTTTCTATAATCTATACCATTTATATATATATATATATATAATTCACCTAATTTCTGTTATAGATTGTATGACAATTGAGAGTGTGAATAATTTATGTAGCATTCGTGAGAAATGTTACACCATTCACGATTAACGTCACGTGTAAATTCTTGAACACGTGAGGCGCTATCGTTGGTTCCTGATTCGCAATAAAAAACTAGGCTCTCAATTAAGCATCTAATTTCCATAACATTTAACATGAAATTGTGGCAACAATTTTTTTTGCTTTGGCTTCTTTTGGTATATTTAATTTTAATGTATATAATACAAAAATCATATGAATTCTAGAAAAGATATATGATTCAACAAGTTTAGTTTTTTTGAATATAAATAATATTTAATTTCTAAAGCATGGTGTAATGAATGGGTGACTTAATTTGGGTTATGGGCTTTGTAGGTCTCCTCTTCATCAGCATCCGATTCTCAGGCTGGGATTCAGGCCCAAGCCCATCATCTCCAGGTTTTTTCTTCATCCAATCTCTTTCTATCATTTTTTTTAATTGTTAAACCATTTTTGTCTTTGTGTTTCCAAACGCTTACCCGGGTAATCGTTTACCAAGTCACTTTACTTTACCGAATGAATATAGCAAGAACTAAGAATCTTACTCGGTAAGAGCGAAGGCAAGAATCTCGAGTCTTATCCAGTAAGTGAAGACAAGAACTCTCACAATGGTTAGCGCTTACCGGGATAAATTGTTGCATATGATACGTTTTAATGAATAAAATTTTGCCCAGAAATAAACGATAGTATTGAATCTTACCGGTAAGTGTTTAGATAAACAGCCTCTAAGCTTACAAATTATTTGGGACTATTCTTTAGAGATCACAAGTACATGTTTGAGTTGGGTGTTAAAAAGAAGGTCCATCCACGCTCCAATTTTTGTCCAATTATTGGTAGTTTAGTTTGGTCTGTGGTTTTCTTTACCCATTATTACTCGGAGCGTCTCAGCTAGACACGGTCAAAAACCGGTTTTGGGTTAGGGCCTAAATCAACAATCCGGGTTGGTCTTGGTTTTGGTCCCGTCAAAAATACTAAGATTCGGTTAAGAGTATTTGTAACTGGTTGCGGTAACTGGTCCCGGTCCTGGGCTGGCCCCAAACCGGTCCTATATAAATTTTTAAAAATACTATTCTAATACATTTTAAAATATATAATTAGGTCAATCAAATACACTTAAAAAATACATTTTATTGTATATTTATAATTGGTTTTCATTCAAATACATTTAAAAATTACATTTTATAATTAGTTTTTGATCAAAAAAATTTGTTTTATTGTAAATTTGTAATTTGATTTTCAATCAAATATACTTTGAAAGTTAGAAATGCATTAAAAATACATATAAAAATACCTTTTTTTGAAAAAAAATTTAGGCCGGGCCTATAACCGGTCCCAGGCCAGACCTTGTTTTTAGATGAAAACCATAACCGGTCTTTAACCGACGGTTCCAAACCGGTTCCAGTCTTGGTCCTCTGCTGATCCCGGGTCAGGCCAGACCCATTTGGCCATCTCTAGTTTCAACTAGTCTAACCAAACCGCTTTTTTTTTATATGATTTTGTTTTAAAAGTAATATTATTTCAACGGTCTTGATATTTCATTTTGAACAGTATGATTTAAATTTTTTGAAAAATACAATTGGATCTTTTAAACCAGATTGTAAACACTCCTGTGGAAGGTTGTACAATAACATGTGGTAATATTAATTACTATCTAATTCCTAATTACATAATGAATGATGGTAATTTATGTAAGTGAAAAACTTATTTATCTACAAATAGTAACCGGAGTTTGTGGTTTGTAGGGGTCGGAAGGACCAAGTAGGAGGCTTTTGACGCTTGTAGGTAACTTCTCATATCACCTCAATATTTAAGGTACTTTTACGTGGCAGATTTTATAAAAACAATAGTTAAGGATATTTTGTATAAATTCTGAAGACTGTAGGGGTCTATGTGCAATAAGATGCGGAAGGCATTCAAGGCCAAACGTGTGCACTAGGGCATGTGGCACGTGCTGCCGAAGGTGCAACTGTGTGCCACCTGGCACGCATGGCAACAGAGAAAGGTGTGGAAGTTGCTATACTGATATGCTGACTCATGGAAACAAGCCAAAATGCCCATAGAAATTATAAGTATGTGTGTGTCTCTTTTTGAACTTTGTTTTGAAAATATGTGGCCTTAATGTTATTTTTAGAAGTTAAGTGTAATGTTAAATAAAAAACATAAATAGTATAATAGTTTGTATTATAGACGTTTAATAAATATCCTTTTGCTTATAAATTATTACATATTTTTTTTTAAGAGAATATCGTTATGTTTTATAATTTATTAGAAAAGTACCCGTGCAATGTAGCGAGACACATCTCGATTTTAATGTTCTATTTTATTATTTGTCTCTATCGATGTTATAATACGATTTTATGTGTTTTTAAGAAAGCAATAATGATTTTATTTTTTAATATAATATAAATTTAAATATATCATAAAAATTTTAAAAATATATATATCAATGTTAATATCAATTCAACTATTTAAAATTTTTATTTTTTTATTATAATTTAATTTAAATTTAATAACGAATTTATTTATTTTTGGTTTARTAATATAACATTTTATAAAGATAATAATTAAGTATTCTGTTAGAACTCAATGATTATTCTAATTATATTTTAGATTTTTTATATTTAAAATTAGATGTTTATCTTGTATTTGATTATGTTTATCTACAGTTAGTTACACGAATTCAGATATGGAGCTTCAATAAGTTATACTTACGCACAATCTACTTGCAATCTTGAGTTTTAAGTAATATGCATTAATAAACAGTATTTTATGCATACAAATTGGTTTTTAAGAGTTTTTGTCAAATGCTTTATAATATAGTATAGATAAGAAAAAAAAATTAAAATTTCATAAATTTAAACGGGTGAGTTTGGTTCGAGTTCGAGTCGAGTTTAGTTTTAACTACCTGTGAGTTTTAGAGTCGAGTTCAAGTTTGAGAAATGTCTATCGAGTTCGAGTCAAGTATATCAATACTCAAACTCGACTCACGTCATTTACACTATGAATAACCAAGGTAGCCTCTAGGCTCACGTTCATCACACAGATGTCTGCCATTGAAACCAGTGTACACGAGAAACCGTTTTTGACCAATTTAAATCATCTTACTTTGGTTTTTTTGCTCCAAAATATTATTTTAAACACCATGCATAATTAGTAAGAAAAAGAAGATTTATTTCAATAAACACCTGACCTCCAAATATAACGGTTTTAACATTTATAAACATCACACCAGGATTTTAAAGTGTATAAAAAATATTTATAAAAAAGGTGAAATAATATTTATTTATTTATTTATTAACAGAATCATATCTTCTAAAAATAAAATTATTTACTAAAATAAATAGGCAAAAAACTTAAATGTTTGAAAACAATTTCAACTCAAACCCAAAATATTCCCATTTTTCACAACTAATCATTCACGATAAAACATTTTATTAGGGGTGTATGCGAGTTGGGTTAGGCGGTTTACAACAATTTTACAATCCAACCCAATTATGGCGATTTGGAAAAATCTCAACCCAACCCAACTCATTCAATAGTATAATCCAACCAAACCCAACCCTTGCGGGTTGAAGCGGGTTGGATTGGGTTCGGTTGGGTTGACGGGTTAGTAGTTACATAATTTGACGAATGAAATAATTCATAAAACTTAAGCTTATAAACCATACTATAAAGTGTCTTATCGAAAAAGATTATAATATGTTTATAGGACGTTTTGGACGTTTCAATAAGTGTTTTAGATGATCTTTAAATAAAATGTGTATTAGTTATTTTATAAAAACATTTTGAGAAGTGTCCCGTAAACTCATCTATTTATAGGACATCTATGTTTATATGACATTTTTTCAAGTCGTGTTGTATAAAATAACTAATACGACACTTTATTTTAAAAACATCATAGAATTTGTTAAGACGTCCAAAATAATCCTATAAATATATTGTAATTCTCTTAGATAAGACATTTTTCTGATGTAACTCTTTAAAAGCGTTATAGATTGATGGATTCGTCCATCAAATATCTATCAATATAATTCATATTCTCCAACATATCAATTTGTTGTTGATTAAAAAAAAATTCAATAATTTTTCTTATTAATAAGATTATTTGTCATCATTCTTTGATCGTGAATCTCTTTTGGTAATCTATACGTTTAGCTAAAATAAAACAAAAGATTTAAAATTTATACATTATTAATATATATATATATATATATAAATTTATAAAAATTATATATTAGCGGTGGGTTGGGCGGGTTGAGCCTATCAACCCTCCTAATTAGCGGATGAACGGTTAGGCGGGTTGGGTTTAATTGAGTTGGACAGATTTTACGGATTGACAGTTTTTTGTACACCCCTACATTTTATGATATCATATAAAATTGTTCAAACTTCACAAAATTCAAATATTAAAAGATTTGCATTTTTATTAGATGAAAATCCTTTTTTTATACAAGTGCTCAAATACTGAAAGCATTACATATGTTTGTACTCCAATTTGAAAAGGGAAAAGTTAAAAAAAAAACCCGACAAATTTTAGTGTTTGGAATGATTAAGTAATTGGATAACTTTTTGAAACGAATAAGTACTTGGACATTCCAAAACATGTTAAATAAATCCTTGAAGTTTATTTAACCTGTTAAATATATCCTTAGGGTTACCAACAACCTCTTTAGCAGGTAAAAATAGAAACTAAAAAAAACTAAAAGCTAATATCGGCCCTACACCACCCACCTCCATCTCGCCGCCCTGCACCAACGGCCATCGCCACCTCCCTCAGCCAACCCTTTCTAGATGTTTTTCTGTTAAAAGTTATCACCAATTTAAGTTTGGCTCAAATATCTTATCGAGATATATTACCCATGTGAAGGATTTCAGAGAAAGAGATGGAATTCCTGATCTCCGAAGGACAACTCGATTTCGATATGCTAGTGTGGCATATATTGAGGTTGGTCAATGCTATCGGTTACTGGCTCAATTATCATTGAAGCACTTGGAGTTTTTGTTTCTCGTGTTCCCATATCATATTGCGTTTTGCCATCAATATGCATTTATCATTTACCGAACTCCATTTCACATTTCGTTGATGTGGAACTTCAGGTTGATGCCAATGTAAAAAGGTTACTGAAGAGTGGGAAAGATCTTGATGATGCCTTGATTGCGGCTGTCGTTCGGAACTTAGAAGTTGCTCGAGTATGTAATATTACCTGTATTCATTCCTTTACCTTCTTAATTGTTATCGCCATCTTTTTGTTTCTTCCTTCCGAGTAATATTTTTAAAAGATCTTGATGATGTCCACATATAATATTTCTACTAAGATGTGATGACAATTAAACGGTCACTCATAAGTACCAATAAACGTACCATGTGAAATAGTTATTTGATTGCAAGTCATGCCCTTTAGATTGATGAAATAATTCCCGTTATTAGACTCGATGTGGACAATGGAGTTCGCTTTTGGAAAGGACAAAGACCATACTTGCTCCTAGGTGGCTTCTGTTCTTGCGTTCAAAGAGGGTTTGTGTATTAAAGAGCCAGAACCTGGGACAACACTTAAATGATTAAGTTCTTAACGAATAAATCATTGTATTTTAAAAAAAAAAACCTATTACACATATCATTAAATATAACCAATAAATTAAAATAATAAACCACAAGGGTTGTGACGTAATGCTTGAGATCTTCGGGAATATGGTGGAATATCTCATCTGTCAATGATTAGATTCTGGGTATACACAATAATTATGATCACTGAGTTTATCAGGACTAATTTCTTACAATCAATTGTTGCATGTGCTAGGATCAGTCCAGACATAGCCCAAAACATCATTTCAAAAAAAATTCAAATAAATATAACAATTTCTTTTAACATTTAATATGAGATTCCCTTGCACAAAATCTGATACCATGTATCAACCAACTTAATTACTATAAGAAAAAATCAATTACTACATATTGAATTATTGATATTGGTTTTATATCAACTTCGAGGTACAATACAATAAGATGCTCAAATAATCAACATAATTTAACAAAAAAAATTACTGTAACAGACAAAGAGTCAACATCTGAAAATGATTTTTTATTATCATAAAAAGTTACTAAGTCTTTTTTTATAGTTTGAAAAACTTTATCCAATCGCCCAAAATCCAAAAATCCATTGGCTTTTTTTTATTTATGGAAAAATATATTCAAAGGAGGGTGAAATTTACAAATTAATTATAATATAACATATATTAAAATTAATTTTTTGAAATATTTTTTTATTAATTTTAATTAAATTATAGTTTTTGGATTAATTTTCTACACTTCTTCCGATATCCTCTTTTATTTTAACATTTTTATTGTTGTAAACAACTGAACGTTTTAACAAATCATTCGTGAATCTTTCAACGAGAAGTTCGTTCAGTTACGCTCGTGAAAGTTCGCTTATTTATGTTTGTTAATGTTAGTTCATTTATGTTTGTTAATGTTAGTTCATTTACGTTGTTTGTATATATAAATATGGGACGTCTTATTTACAAAACATCTAATTCTAACAAACCATACAAATCAATCTTAGTCGTTTATCTACTCTAATAAATATCTGATTTCATTTTATTTTTTAATCTAAAGTTATGATCATAATGAATGAACTTTATCATCTTCTATAAATATATATATATATACTAGTTGTGTATCCGTGCAATGCGGCGGGAGACATGAATTTTAACGATTTTGAAGTTCCACTAGTTTTATAAGATAAGATTTAACAATGATATAGGTTATACTTGGTCTTTACATATTAATACAATTTGAATAAATAAGAGTTATGATTCCAATTACAGACTATCGATGAAAAAAATTGTATGACAGTTTAAAATCCAATATATTTAAAATCCAACATATTTAAACGACTCCACAAATGTATTCGATTTACACCAAGAGCAAGAAACCAAGAAACTTGAGTTTTAAGATAAACACTCAAAACCAATAAAGAAAACTACAAATTTGACAGATCATAAGCCATGAAAAGACAAAAAAAGATGAGTTTTAGAATAAAATTTCAACTGCTTACCCTCTTTATTGTCCAGAAACTCAAATTAAGGTTGAATTAATGCATGTATATATATATTTCAAAAAAACCAAGAACATATTAATTCAAAACATATTATACAGTGCAATTTGGAYAGCYTARCCCCAAAATATATAGCATATATATAAATAAATAACTATAAAAGTATAAATCGTAAATATTAAAAATATTTTTTCACAGTATATATAATATATAAAAATATAACTAAGTCAAAAACTATTCAATATTGGACTCATTTCGAAGGTATTAACGAGACGATTATAATGGTGTAACTTGTTAAAATAAAAATGTATTTTTTAAACATGTTTTAATTGATATACGATTATGTATGCTAATTTGATAAAAGTTTGAAATGAAACATTTAAAAGTAAAGAACGTAAAGTAAATTAATTAATTAATTATAGGAGTATAAAGTGTAAATTTAAAATTATAATTTTAAAAAAATCGGTTGAAAGGGTGAGTGTATGTGAGGAGATGATGAGGTGAAAAAGTGAAAAAATAAGTATAAAGGATATGTTGGTCATTTAGAATTTTAAGACTTTTGTTAAATTTGCTTAATAAGATAGTGTAGATATAGATATTTATCATTATTCATAAATGTCTATATTGTTTTCTAATATAAGCATTGATTATGTTTTGTGTAGTTTATTTTAATTGTTTGTAAATGAAATGTCCCCTAAATAAATATATTTATATATTATGAAATCCATATGTAAAATCATCAACTAAATTAAACTTTTTGGATTCTTTTTTAATCCTTCATAAGTTTACCTGGTTTTCATTTTATTATGTTATTTTTTAGGAAAGAAATGATCAGTAATGGTGGTCGTTTCATTTTTATTCGTGTTCGTTTGTTTAACCTTTTAACGAACATGAACAAACATATTTATTAATGAACAAACATGAATACAAAATTTTTTGTTCATACCATCGTGTTCATTAGTTTGTTCCGTTAAGTTAAACAACCGAACACGAATAAACATCCATTCGTGTTTGTTCGGTTCATGATGATGCGTTTGGTATCCATATAGGATAAGACAGAACATGACGGAACAATACAAAACAATAGTTCAACATTTGGTAAAAGAGAACTGGAAGAACAAAACATATAAAATGACCAATTTACCCGTAATAATTTGTTCATATATCTATACTATATTATAAAGCATTTGACAAAAACTCTTAAAAACAATTTTTTATGTACGAATTACTGTTTATTGATGCATATTACTTAAAATTTAAGATTACAAGTAAATTGTGCATAAGTACAACTTATTAAAGCTCCATACTTGAATTCATCTAACTAACTGCAGATAAATTTGATCAAATATTGGATAAACATCTCATTTTAAATATAAAAAATCTAAAATATAATTAGGATAATCATTGATAACTAACAGAATACCTAGTTATTATCTTTATAAAAAAATTATATTATTAAACCTAAATTAAATTTCTTTGTTACTAAACCTAAATTAAATTATAATTAAATAAATTTATTTAAGAAAATTACACCAAAACATAAGAACTTTTAAAAGATTAATTTAATACTGATATCAATATTTTTTTTGTATAAAGTACTATATAGTGATGCATATTACTTAAAATTCAAGATTACAAGTAAATTATGCATAAGTACAACTTATTAAAGCTCGATGTTTGAATTCGTATAACTAACTGCAGATAAAAATCTCATTTTAAAATATAATTAGAATAATTATCGAGTTTTAACAAAATAAATAATTATTATATTTATAAGAAAATTATATTATTAAACCAAATATAAATTACTTCGTTATTGTACCTAAATTTAATTATCAAAAAAATTAAATTAAAAAATTACACAAAAAATAAGAAATTTTAAATAGTTAGTTTGATATTAATATCGATATATTTTTATCAAATTTTTATGATATCTTCAAACTTATATTTTATTCAAAAATAAAAACATCATCGTTTTTTTCAAAATCACATAAGATCATATTATAACATTGACTGAGATAAAGAATAAAATAAAATATTAAAATTAAGATGTATCTCGCTATATTACGCAAATACCCTTCTAATTTTAATTAATATAGATCTTTTTACCTTGTTCTCTAGTTTGTTCCACCTTATTCCTATATATTATAAAAGTAGTAACAAACATGAAACAATAATTTTTTATTCTAGAGGATTATGTTATATTATATACACTATTCCAAAAATATCCCCTACGTACTTCCATCATCTTTACGCTATGGTCAACAAAGTCGTACTGTTTTGTAATTTTGTACTTCTATTCGTTCATTCGACCAAACATACGTATCCAGCTCCAAAAGTTATTGCGATTTCGATACGTTTTCAGTTATTAAATACACCAAGTGTTGATTTTAAACCAACAAAAGAAACCCCGTAGAGATGGAGAAAGCATATGAAGGCCATGTTGTGGTGTTGCCTTATCCAAGCCAAGGCCATATCAACCCTCTTCTCCAGTTCGCCAAAAGGCTCGCATCCAAAGGCCTCAAAGCCACCATCGCCACCACCCACTACACCCTTTCCTCCATCTCCGCCCCATCTGTCACCGTGGAACCCATCTCTGACGGCTTTGACCACGGTGGTTATGCCCAAGCTCAATCGGAGAAACTCTTCCTTGACTCCTTTAAAACCAATGGCTCACGTACACTCACCCAACTCATCAAGAAACACCAGACCACCACCCATCCGATTACTTGTATTGTGTACGATTCGTTTTTGCCTTGGGCTCTTGAGGTGGCTAAAGAAAATGGGATTCTTGGGGGGGCGTTTTTTACCAACTCCGCCACTGTGTCGGCCATTTTCAGCCGGATACATGACGGGACGTTGAGGTTGCCGGTGAGATTGGAGGATTGTCCGGTGGTGTTGCCGGGGATTCCGCCGTTGAATTTGGAAGACTTGCCGAGCTTTTTGAATGCACCGGAAAGTTATCCGGCGTACCTGGAGATGAAATTGAAGCAGTTTTCGAATCTGGAGAAGGCTGATTGGATTTTCAGCAACACTTTCCAAGAACTGGAACCTCAAGTATGCAATATTTTACGTACCCGCCTGCATTTTTCATTTCTAATAAATAATATACAAATTTTGAAAATTAAAAAAAAAACATTTTGATTTGATGATTAAGGGGGTGTTTGGGATTGGTTATTTAAAACAATTTATGTTTTTTTATTATAAAAATGATTATTAACTTATGTGTCATCAAACCGTAGTTAAATAAAACATGGTTAAAATTGTAAACTGGTAATAATCAATTTTTTATAAGTCAAGAAGAATTAACTTATCAAAAACAGTTTATTACCGGTTTGACACAAGTATAAGCAGTTTTTTTTCTTATCTAAACACCAGAAAACAGTTATCACCGATGTCAGACTGAAATAAGTTAAAAAACAGCTTTTATAAGCAATTCCAAACACCCCTAACTTTGAAACAAATCAAGTTATACATATTATGTGCTTTGAATGCTTTTTTGTTTGTTAGTCTCATCTTTGTCTCTCTTTAAAATTTCTTTGAATTTTTTTAAAAAAATGTATTTATTTTCAAAATATTCTTCATTTTAAATAATATTTTATCAATATCAAAATATTATTTCTCCCTAAATAATTATTTTCAAAAGCTTTAATCGGTAAAAAAATATTAAAAAATATTTTTCTCACATGATAATCATTTTTTGAGATAATCTCCATATTTGAAAAAAAAGTCTTTTTTTCCTACTTTCTCCGTTTTGAAAATACTTCTAGACAATCTCTTGAAGTTCAATTTTAATTCAAAGTTTTTGTTTTCTTTATTTTATTAATATTCCAATAATATATATATATATATATATATATATATAATTTTATTAACTTGTTACTATTAAAATAATGTTATATTAATAAATAAAAGATAAATATGTTAAAAATAGATGAGAATTTGATAAAATCTAACTGATAAATAAGAGAAAATAAGAAAGTTAAAGTAACAAATGAATATTTTATGTAGGTTATATTTGATAAACTAGTTGATAAACAAATAATTTTTTTTAGTAAAAACTAGGTGAGAAGCATGTAAAATAACCAAAAATGGTATTTTGAAGACTTTGTCAATTACAACATTTTATAAAATATTTAATAAAATAATATATTAATACTAACAAGATAATAAAGAAAAATAAAAATAATATAAGATGAATTAAAAAAATTTAATTATTATACATTATAAGTTTTGGATTTGTTAAAACACAAATTTTAGAAGAAAAAAAAAGGTATATATTAATGTATGATTTTTAAGAAGACACATATATAAACTCATATGAATCTATACTATATTATAAAGCATTTGACAAAAACTCTTAAAAATCACTTTTTATGCATAAATTACTGTTTATCAATGCATATTACTTAAAACTTAAGATTGCAAATAGATTGTCCGTAAGTACAACTTATTAAAGTTTCATATCTAAATTCGTGTAACTAACTACATATAAACATAATCAAATACATGATAAACATCCATTTTAAATATAAAAAATCTAAAATATAATTAAGATAATCATTTGATTCTAACAGAATACTTAATTATTATCTTTATAAATTATAATATTAAACCA